CACACACACACACACACACACACACACACACACACACACACACACACGGCTGGTCTCGCACCGGTATATTTTAAACCAGGTGACCCCTGCTCAGTCTCTCTGAGAGCCTTCAGACTCTCAAGTGAGTGGTGCGAACTGCCTGGGACGCGCAGCAAGTCGCCTCTAGCTAGCCAAGAGCAGGTCCCCACCCGATGCTCTTTCTGCCATCCTCAGGTTCTCCGACATTTTTCACCAAGACAGAAGAGGAGACAACAGGAAAGTGTCTGCACCCAGCCTCTGCGGCAGTTGGAGAAAAGAGAGGAGGAGGAGGGAAGCTAGTGAAGAGGCAGCTAGAAGCGGTGATCCAAGCGTAATCAGGAGAACCAGCTCCCACAGCAAGGAAGTCTGTGATGCCACCCAGCGGGGCAGCGCTGAGGGCTGGTGGGCGTTCCTGGTCTTTGCCGCCCCCCCACCCCCCGCGGTTGCTGTAAAACCGACCCGGTGCCCTGTACTCCAGAACTCGCTTTCTCTGGACTAAGGGGTGGGGGAGGAACAAAAGAGACTCTCACCTTCGGCACACACACGCACACACACACACACACACACACACGCACGCACACACGCACGCACACACGCACAGCAGCTGCTTAAGGTATCTGTAAAACCATCATCTGCATCTGAATCGCTTATTGTCCCTAAAGGCACCAAAAGATAGTGAGGTGAGACTATCCAAGGTGGTCCGCGGTCGAGACCAAACAGCAGCGAAAAGCCTGGGGACCCCAAACCCCTGCGCCCCCCCCCCCCCGACACCGCAGAGCCATCTCACCTCCAGGTCCCCGAAGGTGTTGAGCTCTCTTCCCGCGGGAGCGCGGACACCCGAAGCCGCGACCGGGCAGGACAGCTGTCCAGCCCCTCTGCAGAGCCGGGGGTGGGGGGGACGCGAGTGGACTGAGCCCTGCGGCGGGCCACGCGGGATTCAACTTCGCGGAGCCACGGGGCGGTGCTGCCCACAGAGACCCGCACACCCCACTGTCTCACCAGCCAGCACACTGGCGACAGACACCCCCTCCGCCCCCTCTTTCCTACACCTCCCCCTCGCAGTGGAGGGGGGAAGCAAAATGAAAAAAGAAAAAAAAAAAACAAACCCACCCATCAATGCAAAGCAGACATTTTTATGTCATTTCTTATCCTCTTGGGGATTCAGAGGTCGCACCTTACCGGGTGGCCTGGGGTGTGGGTGAGCGCACCGGGGTCCGAGGGCGCGCGAGGCTGGGCTGCTCGGTCCTCTAGAGGATCCGGCTTGCTGCCATCCGCCCAACTTCAGCACCCGGCGACGGAGAGAGGGAGCCAGGCCAGCCGAGAGCCGAGAGGGAGGAGGCTGGGGTGGGCGGGGAGGGAGCGAGTGGCTCCCAGCGCATGCGTCTCGCAGCCCCTCGCCCCGCGCGGCCGGAGGTGAGGCTTCCTCCCCTCCCGCGGGCCCGCGGCCGGGTGAGTCACCGTCGCGTCCCTGCCTGGTGTACCCGCCCGGGGACCGAGCTCAGGGTGTCTCGGTGCCAGGCAGCTCTGGCGACACCAGTGGGGAGGCTTGGGGTGCCTTCCTGGAAAGGACACATTTTGTAAAGAGGACCCTCCTAATTTGCTTCCACCCACAATTCGCCTAGTTCCTGGGACCAGGCTTGCAGGTCTTTCAGGCACGCAGGGCGCCTTAGGCTTGGGTTGGCCTCAGTCCTCTCTAGTCTGGGAGATTCAAGACAGTGTAAAGTTAAGTAAGTCTGAGTCTTTTACTTTATTGATGTCTTACCCCAAACTACCCAAGAATTCCCCTAGGTGCTCTCTGGTCTTAGGTGTATGCACCCTCTGGACCACTGGAGCTGGGGTCCGGTGAGAGAAATTTAAAACAAAGCAGGAGTCAAGAACTCTTAGCGGGGTGTGGAAACCTGGGGCCTAAAGCATCCTTCTAGGGCCACTTGTCAGTCACAGGAATTGCTAATCTTTCTTTTCCCCAGCAGAGCCCAGTTTGAGGATGCAGGAGCCTTGGATGCTTACTGCATTCCAAGCACTAGACTGCATCTCCTGTGATTAGACTGAAGTGTTTCTGAGGGGGAGCGAGGAAAGCGGATGTCTGTCTCTCTAGACTCTGCATCTGTGGGAAGAGGAGTGCGTTCCCGCAGGAATGATTAGACTCTTTCCTTTCACCTAATTAGAACTGATTGCTTGTAGATGTTATGTGACGGCCCCCTGCTGGGGTCCTCCTGTAGCAAGTACTGTCTTCGGTATTCCTTCAATTAATATAATATAACTCAGTGTGTCTTTTCTTCAGCTTCACCCTTGGCTTTGTGTGCTAAGGCCCGGAAAATGCACTCCAGAGAACCGATGGACAGACTCTACTGGTCTGTAATAAGAAGTAAATACAGAAATGGAGAGTAAGGTTTAGAAATTTTTTTGTTGGGATTTACCTTTGCCATGGCAGCTGAGTGCTTCAGTCGGCTGTGGTTGGTATGCTGGATTTTAAGGGCAATTCATTTGGTGTTGTTGTTGTAGATTATGAACGTTCATCTTATTCATTATGGCCTCTCTAACATATCACAAAATGTTCACAGACAACAGAAACTAACTCCTCACTATACTGGAGAGGGTCAGAGAGTCCAAGGTCAGATGTAGTCAGATTGGGTGTTTTTTGAGGGATCAAGTACTGACACATGGGATGCTTTGTCCTCACATGCTTGGAGTAAATAAGACAGTCCTCTGGTGTGGCACGTATAAAAACCGCTACGTCCATGACACTTCATCCGTGTGAACTAACCACTTTCGAAGCCGACACCTCTGAGTGCAGTTACTTTGGGAATTAGGGTTTCAATGCAGGGATTGATGGAGACAAGTGTTCTATATTACTGGCCCATAATGGGCCCCAAAAAAAATCACCGAAAATGGTATGAACAATAGGGGCTCCCTCATGTCACTCTCTTACACTTGTGCCTTTAATCTAATGAGCTTTTGTTGACCCACCTTAATTGCAGAGTTACAGCCATTAATAATTCTTGAACAACCACCTTTACTTCGACAGCTATCATTATTAGTATTCATTGAGCAATTACTCCCTGCTGGATACTGGCCTAAATTCTTTTCATGTGTTTCTTCTTTTCTCCGCACAACAACCCCACAAGGTAGATACTATTATTATCACATTTAACAGGCATCTCAGAAAGTGAGCGGCGGAAATCCACCCCCTCCAAACCTGTTCTTCCTTGGATTGTTCAACCCAGTTATCCAATCCAAAAATGTAGAAGTCATCCTTGCTTTACCTCCTTGCCTTCATCCTCATTCAGTTAAATAGCAAGTCATATTTTCTCTTAATATTTTCTCAAAAATACATACTCAGTTTGTACACTCTGTTCCCTCTCTACCACGGTAGCCTTGTTCCAACCCGATGCCGTCTCTCACCTGGATAGCTCAAGGCCTTCTATTTGGATTCCTTGTTTTCTCCTCCCAGACACTCTAAATAGCAGCTTAACGATCTTCTAGAGGCATACAGATCTTGTCATGTGCCTGCTTAAGATCCTCCAGTAGTCTTCCTTGTATTTTAAATTTTAAATACAGCCCATGATCCATCTCTTCCTGTGGGAGGTTCTGTCCAATAGCTTTCCAGCTTTATTTACTGCTATTTTGTTCTTATGGACCAAAGCTATGAGTTCCTGGCTACATAGGCCCAACAGCATATGGTGTCTTTTGTTTTTTCTTCCTGGAGTCTATGCATGTAGTTCCTTACAGAGGAGACTATGGAATATCATGGAGGCATCTACTCCTAAGAATGGCCTGATGGGACCACCATGTAAACTGATCCAATGAGGCAAACATCTTTTTCTATTTAGAAGGATCCCTTTGCCTTGTTTCATTTTATTAAGGAAATACTTTTTCACTAGTCAAATTAGTTGCTTAGTCTCTACCTTTTTACCCCATATTAGAATAAAATTTTCCAAAAGTTTACTTTTTTTCAGTTGTACTCTGCAGTTCAGAACAAGATTTAGTGCATAATATCAACTTGGTAAATACCTATTGAATGAATAAATGGATGATGGAATAAATCACAAACCTAGAAAAGGTGGCTTTGTTCTTTTCTGTTGGTTCTTCTTGGAGTCCGATTGCTTCTCAGCAGAATCTGTTGTTTCTAAACACATACAATAGAGAACTCCATATCCTCTGCCCAACCTATGAAAGATAGCTCCACGTGACACACATTTGAACTATATGCAAGGGACAAGTTCCAACAGCAAACTTTAAAACGAGAATACTGCAGTTTCTCTTTCTTCCATTATCAAGAATTAAACCTGTGGCCTACTGAATGCTAGGCAAGATCTCTACTACGGAACATTCCCAGCCTTCTTTTTAAGTCTTTATTTGGAGACTAAGTTTCACTAAATTGCCCAGGCTGTCTCTGAATTCACTCTGGACTGTGTGTACCTTGAACTTGCAATCCTCCTGCCTCAGACTCCTAGCTCTATAGGATCATAGGACCTGTGTTGTACCATATTATTTATTAAAGTCGGGTGGTGCGGGAGAATTATCTGTATTCTGTCAATCATATTTTAATAAAATGCTGATTGGTCAGGCAGGCAGTATAGGCAGGAAAGCCAGACAGGAAGTAGAGGTGGAGCAAAGAGACTGGGAGTATTCTAGGAAGCTCCCTCTGCCAGTTCTGCCCAGACCACCGGAGAGGAAAGATGTAACTTGCCCAGCTGAGAAAGGTACGGAGCTATGTGGCTAATGTAGATAAGGATAATGGGGTAACATAAGTTATAAGAGTTAACAAGAGGCCTGACCTGATAGGCCAATCAGTTTATAACCTTATGGAGTCCTGTGTGTGATTTCTCTTTGGGATTTGCTGGTTGTGGGGAACCAGGTGGGACGGAAACCCCAACAAGCCGGCCCCCTCATGCTACATATGGCGCCCATGTGGATAACTGAATCCACAGAAAGCCTGAGAAAGCTTGGGAAAGAATAGAGTAAAGCATATTTTCTTGTTAGCAGCAATTTCTCAGGTCTGCTTTGCTTGCTAGAGGCAAGCAAGCACTCTCATCTAAGAGAGGCTTCCTGACTCAGCTTCAGCTGCAAAACCTTGCAGCTCTTTTAAAAGGTCCTGTAACAAAACACTTAAATGGTGTTGATGAAAAGCTGAACGCATGCTTTTCGGTTTTCAGCCATAGCAGGAAAAAAGCTGCACTGTTTTAAAATGCCAGCTTTCTGGGCCGTCCTGCCAGGAAAAACTCTTGACTCTTTCAGGCAGGCAGTCCAACCGAGTGTGGTCTGTGAGCAGAATGCTTCAGCTTGCTTGCTGGCAAGGACCTTGAAGTGCCATAGAGTTGTGGCAGTGAACACAGCTCTGGCTGGTATCTCAGCAGTGAGGCTGGAAAGCTAAGGAATGGGCTGGATCTAGCCTTCAAAGCCACGGCTCTCCATATTGCTTAGTAAATTAAAGGCTTATGTAGTCAGAAAAAGAGAGATATACAGTAAAGAGAGATTCAAAGAGGAAGAAAACCTCTAACTGGTTTATAGTATGTTAAAAATATATGCAGGCTAAAGGTTAAAGGCATTAAAAATAAAAAAGAAGAAAAGGGAGACATAGGGTGTGGTGGTACACACCTTTAATCCCAATGCCTGGGAGGCAAAGGTATATTGATCTTTGTGACTTCAAGGGGCAGAGGTAGATTGACCTCTGTGACTTCAAGGTGTGGTAGTGCACACCTTTAATCCCAATGCCTGGGAGGCAGGGACAGACAGATCTCTGTGAGTTCAAGGTGTGGTAGCATACACCTTTAATCCCAGCACTGGGGAGGCAGAGACAGCAGGATCTCTGTGAGTTCAAGGACAGCCTGGTCTACAGGGTTATTCCAGGACAAAGATATATACAGAGACCCTGTCTCAAAAAGCCAAAAGTTAAAAGTAAAAATAAAAGAAATAGAGGTTGAAATAAAGCTGCATAAAGATGGAAAATAAACAGATAATCTTG